AAGGCTCCCTGGCAGCCCCCGGATCATTTTCCTGACTCTGCTGCCAGGGCCAAGTGCCCAGACACACACAGCTCAGCCCTCCCTGCTTCCAGCCCCGGCAGCCACCAAGGCCGGGCTGGAGATGGGAGACGGCCAAGCCTTTTAGCAGACTGCTTTCCACGTAGCCCTAAAACCAAAAGGGAAGGGATTCTTTTCTTTTTCTTTACTGATTTTTAGAGAGAGAGGAAGAGAGAGGGAGAGAGAGAAACATGGATGAGGGAACACTGACTGGCCGCCTCCTGCACGCCCCCCACTGGGGATGGGCCCACAACCTGGGCATGTGCTCTGACCGGGAATCAAACCGGCGACATCTTAGTGCAGGGTCGACGTTCAACCACTGAGCCGCACCGGCCGGGCAGGAAAGTGATTCTTTTTTTTTTTTGTTCAGGTAGAGTGGGAGGGGGAGAGAGGAAGAGAGAGAGAAACATCGATGTGAAAGGGACACATCGAGTGGCTGCCACCTGCACGACCAACCAGGGCCGGGGACAAACTGCAACCGAGGTACGTGCCCTTAGCGGGAACCGAACCCGGGTCTCTCGGGACCGCAGGCGGACGCTCTAACCGCTGAGCCAAACCGGCCGGGCAGGAAAGTGATTCTTAAGGACCCTTTAACAGGCTCGCTGTCCAGTGGGCTGCTGGCCCAAGGCGCCGCCCGCGGGCCCCGGAGTGGCCAGGAAGCTGAGTTCCCAAGTACCACAGCTGGTCGGATGGCCCTCCCCGGGCGCTTTCCCTCCACAACCTTTTCCTCAAAGCTGAATGACATCGAAAGCACAGCCCTGTTCACAGGAAAACAGCAGAGCCCACCACAAAGCCGTATTCATCCCTTCAAATAAAAGGCATCTAACAGAACAGCCCCAGTGGGGAAGTCGCTGGGCGGAGAGGTCAGCTTCCAGCACTGCTGATGAAGGGAAAACGCAGCGGCCCGGCCCTGCTGGGCTGCCGGCGACAGCACTCAACTCTCCAGCAGAGCCTCTTCACCTGGCAAGCCCTCCCCGGGCCTGGGGCTCCCTCCCCCAGACAGGAAGTCACTGTCAGCGGCGGCAGAAGCCCCGCCCACCCAAACCCAACACAACGTGGACTGGCTGAGGCCCTGGTGGAAACGTTAACAACTGGAAGAGGACATGCCGGGCGCTGTCACAAGGCAGCTGAGGGACAGGGACAGAAGGGACAGGTTGAGAAAATAAGAAAGCTGACTGCAAACTCATGCTGCTGCTTCAGATCAGTGGTCAAGAGCAGGAGAAGGTCGCTTCTGAGTTGCTCAGACAAAGCTCCTGAGCGATGGGCTGGTAGGTCCCATCTCAGGCACAGTGTGAAGTCTTCAAGTGAGCTGTTTCCTTCTTCACTCTGGCTGCCAGGAAGCTCAGCGCCCTGCCTGCCCTGTGCACCGGGTGCGGGGGATGGACGCTGTGGACCTGGCCACCCAGCCTCCTCTCTCCATTCATGCAGTTTGCCCCTGGGTCGGAGCCATTCCTGAGAGCCAGGCTTCTTAAAGCCACTTAGGACCAAAGAACATTCCGCTTAATCACACAGAAGAAGTAATTTCCTTGACTCTCCCTGAAGGCAGCATGATGGGGAGGGGAGGGGAGGGGAGAGGAGGGGAGGGGCTCGGTGGGGCACCACGAGCCCAAGGGCAGCCCTGCAGGGCACCGGCTGGGAACAGGCGGCACCACAGAGTGTGCGCCAGTTCACGGTGTGATGTGGTCTTCAGAGCCCTCACCCCAACGTCACACTTGGGGACATGAGCCGCAGACAGTTCAGCTTAAAGGGGGAAACGCCAGGGTTCCCCCAGGACCATGGATGGGACAAACCCTGTTAAATACCCCCGAATGGTGGCAGCTGCTCTTGCTATGGGGCTGGGGGAGCCCTGGAATCTCTCAAGGCTGGTCCATCAGCTGCAGTCCTGGGGGAGGTGCACAGGAACCTGGGCCAGCTGCTGCCCCGCCCGACAAGGCGACCTTTTCGTATCCAGCCAGTAATGGGAAGATGCACTGCGCGGGCACCACGGCATGTGGGCACCTGGGCCGGAGCAGCCTGGACAAAGGGAGGCCGTGCAGCTGGAGAGCGGAGGGCCTCGGCCCCAGACCCCACCCCAACGTCCCTTCTCAGGCTGCTTCTGCTCTGGGGGTGGAGGGTGTTTGGGACCTCGCAGGGCCTTCTCCAGCCTCCCTTCAGCCTGATGGTGAAAGGGTCACCTGTCCCCCACGCCCAGCACAGATCCTCAAGGAAGCCAAAGACACAGGCAAAGTCACCAGGTGTGCACGAGCCCCACAGGTGCCACCCTCTCTTCTGATTCTGATGGGACTCGATTCTCTCCTGGGGGGATGTCCCACCCAGCAGACCAGGCATGCACACACTGCCGGTGCTACAAACCAGGGCGCAGTTCTAGCCCCCCAAACAAGGCCACGTGGTGGGGACAGGACAGTCCCAGCCACCAGCCTCCCCACCACAGCCTGGACGGAAGGAGCCACAAACAACCGCCCCCCGCCTTGGGGTCCTGGGCAGCACGCCCTGGCACCCAGAAAACGGGCTGGAAGGGGGGCACCAGCAGAGCGAGTGGGCTGGGCTGCAGCTCTCCATCGAAGCCTGGACACCGGGCAGCCCGCATCCCTGCCACACCAGCACAGGGAGGGCTCCGTGCCAGCAAACCCCTGGCCACCCGAGCCACGTGACGTGGGGGGGAGGGGTGCCACGTGACGCCCTTGCCGGAAGGGCCTGCAGCTTGACCAGTCAACCAGGTCAGGTGCGAGCGACTGCAGAGCCGCCGGTGACTCCATGGGCCCCTCCTCGCCTGGCCACCCTGCCCCGCCAGGTCCAAGGACCAGCAAACGGGAGCCTGTTATTTACACCAAGAAAGCCACCAGGATGAAGCCGGTAGCTCGTGGACAAACCAACATGTTAAAATAGCCAAAGTGCAAAAGAAGACAACCAGACAGGTGCACCCCAGCCGCCTGCAGGCACACTGGTCGTCCCTCCAAAGGGAGCGCGGAGCCTCCGCCTCCGGGGCTTCCCTGCCCCTCCAGTCGGGCACAGACCGAACTGAAGACTTACTGGTGCTGGCTGAGCCAGCAGGGACGGGGCAGCTCGATCTACAGGCCGCCACCTCCCATGTCGGCTCAGCTGGGCGGTGAGGTGCAGGTCTCCAGACTGGAGGTCGGTGATGCTTCCCCGACACGCAAATGCTGCCTTCCCGGGGGCAGCGGGCTCGCTGGGAGCACACAGAAGGTTCCCGCAAGTCCAGACCTGGCTACTGATGGATTCCGTGCCCGGCGTGCAAAGCACGGTCTGCGCAGGCTGAACGCTCCCCGGGAAGCCCAGCTCTGCCCCCCTGCCCCGACACACTGCTCCCAGGGAGGGTCAGGGCGACACACCGAAGGACAGCGTCGGCTGTGGCGCAGACCATTTCACGGAGGAATTTTTCTGCGGGCCGACTTCCGACCCCCTTGGCACTGGCTCGCGCCACGCAGAGGAAACAATCCAGAGCTTTCGGTCCGCAAAACCGTGCGCTCACCATCACACGCCGGACAACTTAAATTAACAGCACCCCCGCTCCACACCCATGCAACAGGGAATGTTGTCAGAGGCAGCAAAAATCAACAGAAAAGGAAGGAAACGGGGCAATTTAGCAGGTCCTCCTTCAGCAAAACCTTTCCAGGACTTCAACGAGGAGATAATCTTTCCGTGATTATGACCAAACCCTCCCGTTGCTTAGCAACACATAATTAAGGAATATGTTTTCAGATCCGCTGTGCAAGCCCGGCCATTATCAGATGAAATTACTGGAGCAACAAATGTCACCGCCATGCAAATCAGTTGGCTGAAGAGACAGAATGTTTGACTGGGAGGAAAAAAAAGCAGAAAAATTATCTGACTTCCCTTCGATCGTGTATGGATTTCTTTTGAAAGGCAAATAAAGCAAAAGAAATCCACACACAAGACAAAACCAGAATCTACAGTGAGAGACAACAGGAAAACCCAGCCAGCCCCTCCGTCTCCCTTTGGAAACAAGAAAAGTGCCCGAGGCCAGCCCGGCCCAGACGATCCCCATTCTGTCTGTTAGAAGCCAAAATGCTACCAGCTCCGCATGTGCGAGGAACAGTCTCAGGTTTGTCAGATCTGGCTCCCAGGACCCACCCAACGCTGTTTGAGGGGTCTTTTCACCCTGATTTTACCCTACAACAACATTCAAAAAAAAAGTTCATTTAAAAAGGAACCAATTTTACAAAATTATGTTGGGGAAGAAAGGAAGGCAAATTTATAGCTTCGACAGTCGGTAAAGACACCTGAAGTTTACCCACAATGCCCAGGGCACGCACAATGCATCGCCCTGGGCCACCTTCCGAGGACCACCTAGGACCCCCTATTTCCTCAGCTGGGAATCCAGTCTTCCCCACCAGAAAGCAGGGTTTCCCCGTGTATCTGCCAACACGCTAGACTAACTGCTTTTGAAACGGGGAGTTTGCAGGGATTTCAACATCTTGCTTTGCTGAACGCCCGCCGTCCTCAGCTCGACGAGCCTTAGCCCTGCCTCTGCCACCGTGCAGACCCTCGGGGCGTCCCCACGAGGCACCCCTCCTGGGAGGCGCCGGGCAGTGCCCTGCCTTCCCCAAAGCCACCCCAGGAGCGGACAGTTTGGGTCTGTCCAGAACGCTGTCCAAGTTTCCCCCAGAAACACAGCCCTGCGTCGTCACCGTAAAGGGAAATCCACACACCAGCCTGAGCTCCACTAGAGAATGAGAAGGCAAGGAGGTCCCAGGGGGCCCGTGTCCACCGGCTGGACTGGGCGCTGGCTATGGTGCCTTGCGGGGTGTGCGCTTGTGCGCGTGTGTGTGTGCGTCAGGGTGTGCGGTCCCCAGGCTTGGCCTGACAGTGACAGGAATGCAAGGACCCACCGTGTGCTCAGACCCCTGCCCTCCTGTCCCCTCAGCACCCCTTAGCAGGAAGGGTAGGGGCGCGCGCATTACTTGGTTCTGGGGCGAGCATGGTGGAGACGATGATGGGGGCCCCCGTCCGCCGGGCCACCTTCTGGTAGGGCGAGTGAGGCATGTGCAGGCTCTGGCTGGCTGGCGGCAGGGCAGCCGGCTCCAGGGGGACACCGGGCTTCCGCTGGGGCTGGGTGCCGCCGTGGGGGCTGGGCAGGGGCACCGCGGCCAGGCTCCGCTCCCGCTTCAGCAGCTCCATGGGCACCGTGTACGCCGTGGAGTAGGCTGTTCTGGGGCCTGGGTGAAGGGGGGCCGCGGGGCCCGGGTTCGTCAAGGCCACTCCTGCCTGCGGGGAGAACGTGGGGCCCAGCCGTGCTGTCAGGGCACAGGGGGTGGGAGAGCTGTACCCAGAGTTGGAGGAGAAGTGGGGGGCTTGGGCAGCCACCCCAGCAGAGTAGGCGGCTGCCGTCTCCAGGAGGTGCTGGGAGGGCGCACTGGAGGGGCGGCGGGAGGGGTCTCCAGCGCGGGAGGCAGCTGCCGGCAGGGGCCCCCCCTGCTGGGGCGGCAGGCCCACGGTGCCCAGAGAAGACACGTCCCCGTGGAGCTCGCTTCGGTGGCTGAAGCTGCTGGAGCGAGTCCGGGGCAGGGCGCCGCCCGCCTGGCCCTGCCTGCGCAGCTGCATCTCGGTCCTGCAGTTGCTGACCAGGCGGCTCAGGACGCGGGCCTGGCCCAGGTTGGGTGCCACACACTTGATGTCCGCAGCCTCCATCGTGGCCAGGACGGCCGGGCAGTCGAAGCCTTGCTGGAGCAGGGCCGCCAGGGTGAGCTCCGCCACGCCCTCCGCCCGCAGCAGGGCCAGGAACTCGGGCAGCACGCTCCTCTTGCCCCCGGGCCCCTGGAAGGTCAGGTCGGCCTCACAGTTCCCGTAAGCCATCTTGGAGGGGATGCTCTCCTGCCCGTAGCCTCGATTTAGGGTACCTGGGGCTGCCCCCGGGCCACCGTCAGAGGCAGCAGGCCCGGTGGGGTCCACGACCAGGCACGTGGGGGCCGCCTGCCTGGTGGGGACCGGCTCCACAGGCCTCTCGCCAACGTCATTGTAGACCTGGCCAGCGGGGTAGGTGGGCGCCTCTGTGCCATACCTGCCAGGGGCCGGCTCCCCGGCGTAGGGCACAGGCGAGGGGGCCCTGCTCTGTGTCCGCTGTCCCAGGGCGATCACTCTACCTGCGGGGTCCCGGTACAGGTGTGCCGCATCCTGCAGGGCAGGGGCCTGGCCTTGCACCTGCCCCCATGCCACCCTGTTGCCAAGCACACCGTGGCCGGGCAGCGAGCGGCCGACTCCGGCGTCCCGGAGGTGGTGCGGCTCTCTAGGCACCTGAGCGGCTCCGGACGGGTCCCCGTAGTAATCCCGCCGCAGCAGGGCGCCATGCGCGGACATCACCGCCTGCCTGCTGTCGTAAAAGGTGAAGTCGGGCACGGAGCTCTTCCTGCCAGCCACCGAGCTATAGAAGGCCTCGTGGCACAGGTCGGGCGCCGGTTCACACCAGGGCCCCTCTCTGCCTCCGTCGGTCAGGGAGCTGCTCCGGCCCGGAGCCTTGGCCATCTCCCAGGGGCCCTCGTACCAGCCGGCGGCATCCCAGCTCTGGGAACGGCCGATGCTGACATTCCTGCTGGGCACCGGCATGGGCAGGCAGCGCCGGCCAAGCAGGCGGAGGAGGGCTTCCTTTACGAATCTTCAGCTGCGCACACTGAAAACCGCCCGCTGCATCCAAGCCCTCGCGCTGTGGCAGGAACAACCGACTGCGGGTTTCCTATTGCAAAGGGCGGCCTAAATTATTAATCCTCGAAACCGCGGCAGACAGAACTCGGCCCTCGCAGGACTTCGCCTCCCTCCCACCGCGGGGCCGGGGCTTTTCTCTTCAGTCCCAGAGAGGAGGCTGCCCGGGCCGCAGCCCCGCCCGCTGGGCTCACATGGCCCTCGGGGAGCTCAGCCTGCGGATTAGGGGCTAAATAAAACCCCAAAGCTTTTGTTCCACGTGACATCTCCAGACTGCGGCCGCCGCGGCCCTACCCAGGCCTCCCGACCTGGGGGTGGGAATTACTTTCACTCGAAAGCCCTGGCCTAGCCCCCTCGTCCTCACCAGGGTGCTTCCTAGGTGGGCCCCCCTCCCCCCCTAGAGGGGCCTGCTCCCACCCTGCCTCCGATCGCCTCAGAGTGACAGAAGGAGAGGAGCAAAAGATGGCTTTAATGTCGACTCCATCTTAATCCACCCTGATGAAATGTTAATCCATCGCACACGGCTAAGAACAAATTAAATGTGACGGGCAGGCAGGATGAAAAGACAACAATCTCATGCGGTTCTAGAACACGGGGGTCCCCGAGAAACGAGCCCGGCCTGCAGCCGACCCCGAAATCTGGCTCTGGGATGACCCCTCGAGGACGGACCCACTGAGCTGCACACTCGGGTCCAAGAGGAGTCTCTTCCTTACTCCCCTGAAACAGGGCCCCCGCTGCCCGGAGACACAAACCCCCGAACAACACGGCCGCCTATGAGCGCGTCTCCCCAAAATCTGTTTGAAAGGGAATGACTGCAGCCGCCGGGGCCTGGCTTAGACTGTGGGGGTCTCTCCCACATTCCCACAGATTAAGCTCTTACGGCCCACTAAGGACTTAGGTCCAATAAAGACTTAGGTCCACTAAGGACTTAGGTCCAAACAGGAGCCTGGAGACGGCTCTTCAACCTATGGATGGGCCCCGAAGCCGCAACCCCACTGCCGCAGGATTTCCATGGCGAAGGGGGCCCAGGACAGGGAGAGCTGGAGTCAGGGAGGTCCAGGGTGGCCTTCAGTTACAGCCCCGCAGAACGACACGAGGTGCCTGGTACACCCAGGGGTGTTCCGTCTTCACCCACGCCTCTCTCGATCCGAGATGCAGCTGGAATCTTTAACTAAAGAAAAAGGCCAGTCATTCACAAGGATCCGCTTCTGACAAGAGAAACACTGAAGGTTTGCTCCGAGGGCAGAAAGTGGGTGGGTGCGTCCCCAGGAACGGGAGGCACACGGCACCAGGCAGGGTGAAGGGCAGTGCCCGCCCGGCTCCCCACGTCCTCATCTGCACATATTCAATTTTGGGACAAACTGTTTAAACCAACACTATTCCCCTCAAACCGCTGGTCTCCAGAAGCCAGAGCCCTGTGACCACCCACTGCTGAGGAACTGGCCCAAGTCCGACTTGGGGACACAGCCCAGAGACCCCAGTCTGTCAGTCGAACACTGGCCCCTATTTCTGACCCCCAAATGCCAACAAGTCCTCAGGTTATCTGAGAAAATGCCCTGCCAGGCGACAGACCCCGGCCTCCGCCGCGGCTGCCGGAGAGGACAGACCGCCCCGAGGGATGCTGGGCTTCCTGCCGGCGCCCAGCCTGCGAGTCCTCACTCGCAATCACGTGCTGCTCGCTCGCAATCACGGCGGAGCGGCCTGGCCACACACGAGACAGTATTTACACGTCTCCCCAACAGCCCGGGGACGTGTTCACTTAGAAGATACATCAAAAAGGCAGGGAAACATAACAGAACCCCGACGAAATGGAAACAGCGCTCTCTGGTTACACAGATCTTTCTGGCACCGCCGGGCGGCCGGAGAGGCCGGGGAGCGGGCGGCGCGCAGGCCCAGCCTCGGGGGGCGCTGTCTTCTGGCCCCGGTTCCGAGGTCACCTCCCCCAGGAGCCCAGGGCCGCACGGACAGGCGGTCTCGCTGCTAACCCCCCAAGGATGAGCACGAGACGGGTTTGCGTGGAGACGACCCTGGCGTATTGGCCAGGCCACACCTCAGAGAGCCCCCAGCAGCCTCCAACCCACATCTTCTCCCCTCTCCCAGGCTCAGGCCTTTTGTGGAGGCTTCTGGGGAGGGATTCTACTGCCACCCCCCTTCCTCCACTGCCAGAGAATGTGGCTGTCCTGGCCCTTCAGAGCTGACCACAAGCGGGGCGTCTCTGACACCACGTCCTCCTGCAGGGCAGTTAACACACGGCCTCCAGCCTGCTGACCGCGGAGGTGCCAGGCCCTGTGGAGGTGTTCGCCTACAAATGACTTGGAAGGTAGCTGGGATTATGTCGCCCCAGACACTGGGGAGGAGAGGTTGGGGTTCCTGTCCAGGGCCACAGGGCAAGGGACCCAGGTCAAGCTCCAAAACCAGCACCCTGCTTTCCAGAATTCTCTGAGCCGACTGGGGTTACTCTGCTGGGAAAGGGGGGACCTCTGCCGCTTCCCAAAAAGTTTCCAAACCCCAAAATATCACCGAAGATGTCCCTGGTAAAATTAACCACTTGAGCATCACAAAGTAACTGCTAAAGAGATGGCCGCTCCAACCCCTCAAAACAGGCCGCAGGGGGCCCCTGTCTGAGCCAGGGCCCAGCCTCCGCCCTCAAGCCAGCCCCTCCCCCTTTCTTCCTGTAATACAAAAACCGAACAGCAGGTGGCGACAATGCTCAGAGACCCACAGGCTGTGCAGACAGGTCCCTTGAGGCATGTGTGACCAGTGAGGATGGTCTGCTGGGCAGCCACCCACGCCTCTGGATTCTAGTTTTCAGGTCACGCTCTGAAGCAGGGGGACCCCGAAGCTCGTGAGGAAAGCAATGGCAGGGAATGAGATGGCCCGAAGGTGTGGGGCCGGCGCAGGGCAGAGGACGGCCCCAGGAGGCCCAGCTTCCGGACCCACCCACTCCCAGCCCGTCCCCTCTTGGCAGCCACCCCACCTCACGGGGCCTGGGCCCCGCAACCCGCCCGGGGACGATGACAGGTTTTTCCTGTGCTCAGTAAAAACACCTGTGACTGACGCGCAGGAGCAGATTTTGAAGCACGTCAATTCTGGGGAAAGAACTGCTTTTCTGAAGCCTCACGTGGACTAAAGAAGAGGGGACCGGTTTCCGAAGGGGGAATGAGTCGCACAGACTTACTCCCCACCACAGGAAGTTGTATAAAGCAAGAAGACATCTTCTGAAAACAGAAATACACAGTCCAAATCTGCTAGCGGACAAATGAGCCCGAGGCAAAGCTGACCACTCGGTCGTCCGATCGGGGAGCTCAGGGTGAGGGCATCGTCCCCAAGCCGAGCCTCCAGTGCTCTGGGCAGCACAAGGCCGCGGTCCCTGACAACCCTGCGACGGACCCGACGGTTCCGGCAGAGCGGGGACGTCAGGGAGGGGTGGTCACCGCGTCCGGAGCAGCCAGTCCTTGGGAAAACGCCCACGAGCACGTCAGTCAATACGACGACCAGACCCCTGGGAAAGAACGGGAAATGGAAGTGTGGCCCTGGGGTCAAATCCTCTCTTCTTTACTCAAACAAAACCAAGCTGGGCTGTCTGGTGGGTGGGATGGCTGAATCTGAAGGCTGGGCTCGCACGGAGACCACGGGGCCTCGCCGCCTGGGCCCTGACTGCTGTGTGGGTCTCCTTCTCGGGGGACAGTCAGGCCCAAGGTTAGGAAAGCGTGTGGCCAGCCCTCCAGTCCTGGGGCCAGGAGCCCAAAGCAGCTCTGAGTGCGCAGGCGGAAGCGAGACGCCCCCAGGATGCAGCACCCCGGGCCTCCCAGGTGGCGTCTCCGGGGCATGCTGCCGAGGTCAGTGGGTCGCACATTCTCCGGCAGAGACGGCCAAAAATAGGCCTCCGAGTCCCACTTCCTACTTTTAAATGTGTGCAGACTGTTGGCTTGTTTCTGTCAAGTGTTTTAGAATTTATGTCAGAACAGCTTCCGTCTTTAAAATGTTTCCTTCCTCTGTCCCCGGAGCGTCCCCACTACAGCAGCTCACACGGACAACGCACCTCGGGTGGGACCCGGTGGGCCTGTATGTTAGCAGATGCAGGCAGCCTCGTCGTACACGGGAATGTCGGAGCTGTCGGACGACATTTCAGTCGCCGAAGGAGCAAGCGACGCGGCACCCAGTGTCCTGGGACGCTCTCGGCCCCCGGAGGCTCCCCACGCGCTCCCTGTGTCCCAGCTCGGAGCTGGAGGCTACAGGTCAGGAGCGCGATCTTATCAACAACCACCCTTCCCAGTCAGCTGCGTCTGCCCGGGGCCCAAGGTTTAGCCATGTTTAAGTGTTGCCCCCGACGCGTCTTCCAGACCGGATTATAAAACTTAACGAGAGCCATGTTGTGAAAATTAGGTTGACGTCCCATTGGTTATGGGGTAAGAAGTCCCATACGGCGGGCTTTGACTGTACAGAGAAGCAGAAAAATGTGGCTGGGACCCCAAGCTCGCCCAGGCCTTGAAACGGCAGATGGGTGCACAGTCACCAGGAAGCAGTCCCAGGACCGCCAGGCCCGACCCCAGGCTCAGGATGAAGAGCAGCCCTTCCCTGCAAGGCCTGTGCCCCCCGTCAGGCAGATGGGGACACGGTCACCAGGAAGCCCTCCAGGACCGCCAGGCCCGACCCCTGGCTCCTTCCCTGCAAGGCCTGTGCCCCCCGTCAGGCAGATGGGGACACGGTCACCAGGAAGCCCTCCCAGGACCGCCAGGCCTGACCCCTGGCTCCTTCCCTGCAAGGCCTGTGCCCCCCGTCAGGCAGATGGGGACACGGTCACCAGGAAGCCCTCCAGGACCGCCAGGCCCGACCCCAGGCTCAGGATGAAGAGCAGCCCTTCCCTGCAAGGCCTGTGCCCGCCAGTCAGGCAGATGGGGACACATTCACCAGGAAGCCCTCCCAGGACCGCCAGGCCTGACCCCTGGCTCCTTCCCTGCAAGGCCTGTGCCCGCCGAGTCAGGCAGCAGGGAAGGAGCCACGGCCCTGGGTCCCCAGGGCACAGCAAGCTGATGGGGCAGGAAGACCCCTGCTCTCCATGGAGGGGCTGACGGCCGACCTGCTGGGAAGAGTCGGCCTCACCCACCGCAGCGTGCAGAGGAGGGAAGGACCCTC